CGTTCCCCCCCCCCCCCGCAGAGCAGCGTGAAATTGATAAACAGATTTTGGAATCGGTTAGAGAAAGCAAAGGATATGTCTTTATCCATTTTTTGCAGCAATTCCACTTTCTTGTTTGTTGGACATTCGAAACATTCTTTCGTTTTGTAGATCCTGTGGCAGTATCCAGCATCAGAAATTCTATTTGACATAATTCGAAAGTTCAAAGCTTACTTTTATAAAATTGCTCTAGACAGTCTGCAAAAAATAATAAGCCGGATCCAATTCGAAGATTAAGGAAACAACACAAGCAATCCACAACATTAACTGAAATAGATAATTAGATAATTTTAGCTTAGCTTATACCGTCCGTTATACATTTAATGCGCATGTGTAAATGTATTACGCGCATGCGTAGACGCATATGCGCATGTACAGAAGGTTTGTAGCTTTGAGGTCCGGATTATAGATCATTCCGGATTATGGACGTCCAGATTAAAGACTTTTGACTGTATTAGTTTTGTTCTTTTTTTTATACTTGATTTTCAGATTAGCATATTTTGGTTTTAGAACTTTTTTTTTTTTGGAGGGGTGCTTGTTTGTTTTCTGTTGTTTTGTTGGATTTTAATGCACGTAATGTAAAGTTCTATGGTTTACCATACAGAGTATATTTTTTACAGTCAATTTTGGTAATGCTCGAATTTTGAGGGAAAAGGAAAGTCAAGATCTCCACAAATAAACACACTTTCCCTCGTTCAGTGCTGTCTCTCTTTACTGAGGAATTAACACCACAGGAGGACTGTTTTCACCCAAAGGTTCGGCCTTTGTGTGAATGATTAGGGAAAACAAAAGAAGAAAGAAATCGGCAGTCTTTGATTCATTAATTGGCAGTCTGCAAGAAGCACTAGTGAGTAGAAGACGGCCATTTGCGAAGATGTATTTCAGCATAAAAAGGTTTGCAAATCCAAATAACATTAATTTAGAGAAATTTTTATGTATGCAATATATTATTCTAAGATAAAAGCATAAAAGTAAGTAAACAGGAATGTAGGGACAGGCTGCCAAATGAAAAAATGTTCCATACTAATAATCAAGATTTTTTTGAGATCATCAAATAGTATCTTTTGTGAAATGTTCTGTGTTGATATCGCTACTTTTGATTTTTAAAGTAGATCATAATTCATTATATTTTCCCACATGTAAAATCTGGTTAAATGTTTCCTCATTTATAAATTACAGAAGTTTCTTTCAATTATTCCTGATATTTTAAAGGAAAATTTCCATGTATATGTTGGCATATTTTCCATGCATTAAATTGGCATAAAACTGTGTCGATTTCTCCAACAATCTATATAAATATGTTTCCAAAAAACTGCTAAAATATGAAAAGTTGTATTTGTAGAACATTTATTAGTTAGATTTGTAATTACCCAGTCAGCTGTTGGTTTTTATAACCTTCCATTCATTAGAATAGTAATAAAGTCATTTAGCATGGGGGGGCAGGCAAAAAGGAATTTTAAAGAAAGTCTTTTTTACAAAATGACACAAAATTTCTTAATCTATTATAAGTAGTTATATAACTCAAATAATTAAATATTTGCGAGAATTTTGTTGACCTCTCTCAATGTTACCAACATTTCTGTATAGAAATAGAACATAATTAAATATTGAATAATGAGTATCATACACAGTTGAGCATACAGATTAAGCATCACAATATTTTCAAAGGCAGCCATTTTGACAAATGAACAGAATTCTTGGGAATCATGTATGAATGCCACACACGTTTCATAACACCAAGAACGTTATATAAAAATAATGGTTATGTGATAGCAACAATTTACCGATCTTTCCAAAGTGTTTAAAAATACAATATATAAAAGTTGGCAAGTTCGCTTCAAAAACTGTATTCAGTTCACTCACGGTGTTTGTCGCTATAATCTGAAGCTTGTCATCGATTTTTAAATTACTTCTTGATAAGCTATCAAGTTCAAATTTTGTATGCACGCTGTTTACGGATGATGATACAGCGTGGTAAAGTGAGTTTTATAAAATTCAATTTATAGTTTTTTAAATTTAATGTTGAATTTAAAATTCAATTACAATAAATAAATTTTAAAGTTGCATTTCTCCAAAAACTTCGCCTTAGGATTGTTGTATTTATCAGAAGCAATTAGGGTGCAAGGTGTGCTCCTTATCATTATCACTACATGAAAAAGGATATTTTATATACAGTACTATTAAACACTGAAGAATGACATGCTGAATTGTGAATTCTGCCAAAAACCACAAAAAAGCCAGAGACATCAACAGAATTATGATGTAATTGGGATGTAATGAAACAATAAACTCTGACTACTGTCGACAGATGGGCTGACCGAGAAAAAATTTGACATCTAAGTGGCCAGCATTTGTTAGCCACAAGATATTTATTTTTAATTTTTACAATAATGTCAAACCTCATGCAGCTTTAATTATGTGGCAGAAATAGCTAGTTTTAGTTGGGAAACTTGGAAAAAAACTTGGATGACGGTGGTCGTTTACTCAGCTTCTCTTAATAGAATTTTGATTTGAATGGAGAATCATTCCCATTTTTTTATTTAAAATTAATCTTGAACCATGTATATAGTGTAATACAGTAGCTGTACATAAATAGTCACAGCAATTTGGCTTGAATTGTGATTCGAGTCTGAATTGGTGTACGAAATCAAAAGCTCTCCCAAAGCAAAAATTGTCGACTAAAACATTAAAGATAATGGTTATTTCAAGAAATTAAATCGGTTTTATATTTTATGTCTATATATTCTCTGCCTCTCTCTTTGTTTTCCCCCCAACTAAAAAGTAAGTAGAACTTCTAAACATACTTAACAAATAAAATATTAAAAGAATTTTATACAGTCAAAAGTCGTTAATTCGGACACCCATAATTCGGAATGATCTATAATCCGGACCTCAAAACTAAAAACTTTCTGCGCATGCGCCGTGTTGACACATGCGCATAGGCGTTTACACGTGCGCGTAAGACCTTTTATGACTGCGCATATGAGTGTGCGCAAGTGCAGAATACGTTTCGCGTGCACGTTTTATGTAGAATGGATGTATAAGCTAAAATTATCTAATTATCTATTTCAGTTAATGTTGATGATTGCGTTGTTCCTTAATTTTCGAATTGGATCCGGCTTATTATTTTTTGCAGACTGTAAGAGCAATTTTATAAAAGTAAGCTTAAACTTTCGATTATACCAAATAGAATTTCCGATATATATTTGTTAATATGTAAAGGATCTAAAGCGAAAGTATGTTTTGAAATCCGAAATCTGTTTATCAATTTCACGCTGCTCGGCGGGGGGGAACGCCGTGTAATGAATTGGAAGTTGATCTGTCAGCATTATCCTTATCTTCAGCGCAGATGTTTTTATTTTATTTGGCTTATAATTCCTTACCAAATGTAGTATTTCATCTCGATATGCTCCGTCTTTGATATGATTTAAAACATGTTCCTCGTCATTATAATTCGCTTCCGATAGCGAAGAAAATGACAGAGGTTATCGAAAACGAAAAAATTTCGATTGACAAATTAGTCGGTGTTCTCGACACAGCAATTATAGGACTTGAACAGCGGAACTTTGTAACTGAACAAGAAATTATGTCTGTTTAATAGAATTAAAGAGAAAGTATTATCACATGAAATGAAGCAAAACTTAAACAACTTACATTGAAAGAAATGTTTAATAAAGTAAACAAATAAATATTAAGCTTTTTCTTTTTGCAAATTTTGATACCCTTTAGATCATAATTGTTCTTTATTTCATAAATTACGGTTTCATATTTTTAATTTTAGAATTTCTGCATGCCATCTTACGAGATTTAAACTGATGATCTATAATCCGGAAAAATCGATAATCCGGAATCGCCGAAGTCCCGACGAGTCCGGATTAACGACTTTTGACTGTAATAAACATAAAAGAATATTGATAGCTGTTAGATAAAAACTGAGGAATTCTCATCTGCAGCATCAAATTTCAACTGTCATGTCAAAGACTAAAGCAAATGGAGAAATTTAACACTATAAATGGTAGAATAGAAGAGAAACACGTCAATGTGACAATTAAAATTGCATTAACAACTTTATATTTAGCGTACATATATTAAAACAATCGATTTCGAGAGCAGCTAAAGGTCCTTCCTCATCAGGAGAAAGAAATTACTAGAAAGGGGAAAAAAGAATAAAAATAAAACATCGGCAAAGGAGTCTTAGAAACACATGGTCGTCATCAGCACTGCCCGTGGTCATAACCGGATTTTGAATCAGAGTTACACTGGCCGCCTACTTTTACTGAGCCAGGCTATCTGATCAAACATATAACACATACACTAAAATGAAAAAAAAGGTTCAGACCTCTTTTATTCAAGGTTCAGACTTGGTATGTGAAGGTGCAGTTGCCCCCCACTCGCTATTTTTTTTTTTTTTTTTTTTTTTTCATTTTAGTCTATGTGTTATATGTTTGATCAGATAGCTTGGCTCAGTAAAAGTAGGCGGCCAGTGTAACTCTGATTCAAAATGCGGTTACGACCACGTGATTCTGAGACTCCTTTGCCGATGCTTTATTTTTCATCTTTTTTCCCCTTTCTAGTAATTTCTTTCTTCTGATGAGGAGGGACCTTTAGCTGCCTTCAAAATCGATTGAGTGTTTTGATATATGTACGCTAAATACAAGGTTGTTATTGCGATTTTGAATATAAATAGTTTCAGAATCTAAGCATGGATTTTTCTTGCTTTCTGGAAGATGAGTTCTAGAGATTTGCTGAGATATTCCCTTAAGTTCCTCTATATTAAAGCACAGTGAAGTCACAGACATGCAATATAACACTGGCTCACAGAATATTATTGAATATGCAATATCTATCTGCATGATTATTACAAATTATCAAAAAATACTTAATATGAAAGTCAAGCGCACAATTTAAGGAAATTCTCTTAAATTATTTTCATTAAAATGAAATGATCTTGATATGCTTACTTGCTATCCAATTGCTCATACAGACTTTTTACAGAATCATCAATATCAACATTGTAAAACAGAAGATGATTCAAACAAGTCTAAAAAAAATGCATATAAAAAAGAAATTATTCTATACATTGTTTTTCTTTTTGACTCAAGAACATTTATATATATATAAAAAAGAGAGAATTTCAATTAATTAAATTTTACAGGAACAAGCTCAGCACAAAATTATGTTTTCTAAAATTTGAGTCAACTTCCAAAGCCATATTTTAATACATCCAATTTTCAACATGTTTCAACAAATAACTGAAAATAAAATTGTTAATAATAACTTGAAAATAATTTTACATCTAAAAAACCAAAATTAGCCTTACTTTTTATTTTACAGAAATTACATCCTAATTTTATATACAGTCCAACCTATTTACAGTAAAATCATAAGAATGCTAGTAAAAATTCATTATTCATGAAACTCTTTATAAAACAAATACAGCAAGAATGACAAATACTGTCAATATATAGTACTCTCAACTAATTGTGCATTGTCTCAGCTAACTGTACTGTTTTTTACAATAATATTGTAAAAAAAATATTGAAAAGCACATAGGCTAATGAGGTACAGTGTTCCCTCGCCACTTCGCACTTCATGTTTTGCGGCTTCAGTGCTTCGCGGGTTTTTCCAAAATATTCATCAAAAAATAAAAATGAAAAAATATAACCATGTTGGCAGCCACATTGCAAAAAGGAATGTTGTTTCATGTTAATGCATGCGAGAGAAGTATCCCTGCATGTCAAAGAGATGAGTTGACTCAGAGTACATACCACGGGCTCTCATAAAGGTGCATGATTGGTTTCGGTGCAACATCTACCAATGAGTACGAGTGGATTTATACGAGTGAGTTGATTGCCTACTCATCATTGCAGGATCACCTAGCATATTCTCTTGTATCTGGCCAGTTTTGTCCATGATGTTGACTGTCTCACATACTGTATTTTAGTGTTGTATTGGCGATAACGTTTTTTGTTAAAGTGACAACTTTTTTTATTAATTAAGCCCTTATAATGCCGCCTAAGTGCTCCCTCTGAGGTGCCCAAGAGGACGAAGAAGAAGATGACCATCAGTGAAAAAGTGAAACTTTTAGATATGATCAAAGAGGGCAGAAGTTATACATCTGTGGCACGCCACTACGGGGTGAATGAATCTACAGTGCGGTACATCAAGAAAGAGGAAGCAAACATCTACACTGCTAAACCTTCAAAACCTAAAAAAATAACCTTCAATAAAGAAGCAAAACATGTGGTAACTCCACATGATAAGAGAATTGTGAAAATGGAAGATACACTGCCATTGTGGATTGCTGATTGCAGAAAAAAAACAGCGAGTTTGGATGCTAATATGATCAGGACAAAGGCCAAAGCTCTCTCCGACCAAATCTTGCCCGATGACGACAATGAAGAGGCTGAAGAAGGCGCTGACGAACCCCAAGCCAGTAATAGCGCTGCCAGGAGTGATTCGCCTACTCGAGGACGAGGCTTTTCAGCCAGCAAAGGATGGTTCAAAAATTTCAAAAAAGATACAGCCTCAGAAATGCACTTCTGTACGGTGAGGCTTCCTCTGCTGACAACGATGCTGCTTGTCGTTACATGGAGGAAGAGTTTCCTAACCTCATCAGTGAGGAAGGATACCTCCCTGAACAACTTTTCAACATGGATGAAACATGCCTTTTTTGGAAGAGGATGCCTTCACGCACATTCCTCTTCAAGGACGATGTGAAGAGGCCAGGCTTGAAGGCTCACAAAGACTGTGTGACTATCATCATGGCTGGCAACGCTGCAGGTTTTATGCTTAAGCCAGACCTTATTTATAAAGCCAAAAATACACTGGCATTAAAAAACAAAAATACGGATCTGTTGCCCGTGTTCTGAATGCATAACCAAAAGGCCTGGATAATGAAAGCTCTGACCCTTGAATGGTTCCTCCATTGCTTCATTCCCCAGGTGAAGCTGTATCTGGCTGAAAAGGGGCCTCCCTTTTAAGGTCCCTTTCTTGATGGACTGTGCAGGCCATGCAATATGACGGTGTGCAGATAGAGTTTCTAACCCCGAACACTACATCTCTAATTCAGCCGATGGATCAAGGTGTCATTCGTGCCTTTAAGACACTCTACACTCGGTCCAGCACAGAGGGCCTCATCTCGGCAATTGAGGATGCCAATGACGAATTCACCTTGAAAGCATACTGGTACAGTTAGGACATTGCCTCATGTTTATCTAATATTTAGCGAGCCTTAAAAAACTTCACTTCTGAAGAAGTTTATCACTCAGCTGGCTCACATCATAAGATATGAAGGATTTGTCAACACGACAAAAGAAGACATAAGCACCTTATATCACATATATACATAAGCATATAGACATAAGCACCTTATATCACCTTTGCCCCGCGGACCCACTGACCGATGAAGACTTCCTTGAGATGACAAAGTCTGCAAGTGAGGAAGAAAACAAAGAGGAAGATGAAGAAGAAACTGAAAAGCATGGCAATCTGCCACGCTTTTCAGTCAGCTCTGGAGAATCTGCAACAATTGTACAACATGGCAGGAGCGAAGCAACAATTTGCACATGACATTGACAACAATATGGTTCGAGCTGTCGAGTTCAGCAATTCTGTTGACGGGGTTATGTCCTTGTACAGGGGAATTTTGAAGGTGAAAAAAAAAAAAAAAAAAAAAAAAAGACAGCAACTACCCATTACCATGTTTCTCCCCAAGGTAAAGCCCCCAGCTCTACCATCAGTGCCTCCAGCAGAAGAGTCTCTGCTTCTGAGCCTAAAGCTTCTACGAGTCAAGTGAGAGCCTCTTCTCTGCCACCAACACAAGACTCTTCGCCTCTCTCAGAAAGCAATGTTGATTAATGTTTATTACTGTATAAGGTTTTATAATTAACCTTATTAATTAGCACTGACATATTTAAGTAAATACGTATACTGTTGTTATTTTTGTCTTAAATGTGTAAAGTATAAATACTGTTTACATATTTAAAGCATTCTTGTACCCACATACACAAAAATTCCTAGAGGCAAATCCTACTTCGTGGTTTTTCAGCTTTCGCGGAAGGTTCTGGTCCCCATTAACCGCAAAAATGAGGGATCACTGTATACTCAAAATGGCCAGGATTTGTAATAAACAAATAGTAGATTTTTCTAATTATTTATTAAATATTATAGTACTTCATATATAAACAAAAACAATTTTAGGAAATTATACATAATTTATTCATTCAAGACTAATACACAGGTCAAAATGTATCACAAAATACCACACAAAGAAAAATAAAGAAACAAACAAGTATAATTTTTAAAAAATTTAGAAAGTCAAGCATTACAATTACAGCAAAAGCTTAATAACCTCCACCAGACCTGGAAAAAAAAATTCCATCCCCTCTAAACAAAATATAGATTGTACTTTTTATTCCTAAAGAACCCACCTTATATACAGCCTAATACCTAGAAAATAGGTCATTCTTCACTTTTCCAGATTTTATCTTTAAAGAAAACATGTAAGGGTTGCTGAACTTCCATGATGGAAATACTAAGATCAGTTGTCTTTTTAAATACACTCATGTCCATAAATTAAGGATAATTTGGAGTCACACGGAAATCGAACTCTAAAATAAATATATCACCTGTAAAATCACTACACACATCTTCAAGAATCATATGCAAATTTTAGGAAGTAACCAGATGACACCAATGGTACATAACAATGACGAGAGTGTAAGAGAGTGATATATAAGAAATACAGGCAAAGAAGTAAAATTGTTCGCAGGCGCTTTATAAGCATTTCAGTGCCATAACCGAATAGTTATGACACAAAAGATGCATTTGGATGATTTTTTACGTGGTAGAATTATCGGCCGTCTGGAATGTGGGCGTACCCAACTGGAAGTATCAGACAAACTTGGAATTGCCCAGAGTGTCATCTCCAGGCTTTGGCAACGATTCCAAGATGATGGTAATGTGAGTAGACGTTACAGCACAGTCGCCCCAGAGTTACAACGCCGAATGAGGACCGGTATTTGGCAGTTTCTGCCAAAATAAACAGGCAGAGCAGAGCTTCTGACCTGTCTCGTCAGCTCTCTTCAGCCACTGCTACGATAATTTCAAGGCAGACCGTGTACAGACACTTAGGACAGATTGGTCTATATGCTCGTAGACCTGTCAGATGCGTTCCACTTACTGCAACTCACTGTCGCCTGCGGTTAGCCTGGAGTAGAGAGCATGCATTGTGGACACCGCAACAGTGGGCTTGTGTGATGTTTTCCGAAGAGTCCAGGTTTAGCTTGCAGTCTGATTCTCACCAGACTTTCATATGGATAGCTCCAGGTACCCGTTACCACCACGAAAACATCATTGAAAGACACCATTAAGGTGGTGCAGGAGTGCTCGTTTGGGGTGGAATTATTCTGGGTTCCAGAAATCACCTGCATGTTCAAATTGAAACCATGACAAGCCAAATCTATTAGGACGTCATTCTAGAACAACATGTACGTTTGTTTCGGGGCGCCATGGGTGCACAATTTGTGTTTATGGATGACAACGCCCGTCCTCACCGTGCAAACATCGTAAGCGAATACCTTCAATCGGAGGATTTCACCCGTATGGACTGGCCAGCATTCTCACCGGACCTTGAATCCAGTAGAGCACGTGTGGGACATGCTTAACCGATGAGTTGCAGCCCGTCAACCTCCTCCTACATGTCTACTGGAACTTTGGAGAGCATTGCTTTTTGAGTGGTGTAATATCCAAGATCAGATCGATAATTTGATACTCAGCATGCCTAGGCATTGTAGGGACTGTATTGCATCGTCTGGGAGACATACAATGTATTAACAATCATACCAACCATGTAATATTGGTTTTTTGTAAATAGTTTTTTTTTTATTATTATTTGCTCCAGGTAGGAAAAATCGCTAATTTTTTTAATTTCAAACATATAGCATCTTTTTTTGTTCTTTACATTTTGTTTAATAAATAAGCTTTACAAATAAGTCAAATTTGTTTTGCTTCTAACACTTCCTTTGCCTGATTTTGCATTGTCCTTAATTTATGGACATGAGTGTATTTATTTTGAAGCTTAACACAAGTTTTCTTCATTAAATAAAATGTAAATATAACATCTCAATTACAGAAAAAGAGAGACAGCAGCTGTTGTTTTTTCCCAAGAGAAACAGGAAGTTCTCTAATATAAAGCTGATTACGCATAAGATATTGTATTTATACTTGTTAACTGTCTTTTTGCATAAGACCTCAGAATATCAAGAGCACATTTGTGCGGCCATTTCATATACAAACTCTTTTATTATCTAGAAAACACTTCAGAAAATGTACTCAGCCTGCATATTTGCCACATACAATATCTAAAAATACAATAATTTAAACAAATTTTTTAAAAAAATTCTTTAAATCTTAATTTGAAAGAAAATGCTTCCTCTAAACTAGGGGTCTTCAACCCGTGGCCCGCGATGCCTGATATTATTTGAGATAAAATTTTCTGAAAATGACGAATTTTAGTCAGTTTGCCTTATTTGCAACAACAATGTAGCTGTGACGAAGGAATGCATTAAGAGACATTATGATACTAAGCACAGTGAGAAATATTCTGCATTGGAAGGTCATTTTCGAAGTGATAAGGTGAGTAAATTAAAATCAAAACTAAATTTTCAGCAGATTTTCTTCACCACAGCGAATAAAGAATCTGAAAATAGTGTTCGTATTAGTACAAGATAGCAGAAAAAATTGCTAAGCATAGAAAACCTTTTGCTTATGGAGAATTTGCAAAAGAATGTCTTCAGAATGCAGTTGATGTGCTTTGTCCATCACAGGCTCAAGATCGAATATTAGCTTGTCTGGTGTGACAGTAGCTAGGCGCATAGAGGATCTCGCAACAGATATATTCAGTAAATTAAAATCCAAAGGCAAACAATTTGAGTTTTATTCTGTAGCGATGGGTGAATCAACAGATGCAAAAGATAATTCACAAGTAGCCACTTTTATTCGTGGTGTTGATAGAGACAATTGTAGAGGAATTAGCGCCAGTATCGTTGCACTCAAAGGTACAACATGAGGAACGGATTTGTATTTGAATCTGACACAAACTTTGGATAAATATGAGTTAGACTTCAGTAATATATCTGCTATAACCCCGGATGGTGCTAAATGTATGATTGGAGAGAAAATAGAAGTAACAACATTATTTCAATCTGATGTGAAGGCAAGTGGAAATAATACTATGATGACTTTTCCACTGCATCATGCACCAAGAAAATTTATGTAAGAAGTCCTTCTCAAACTTCGAACATGTGATGAATGTTGTTGTAAAAGTGGTTAATTTCATTCGGTCTAAAGGACTTGATCGCAGACAATTTCAATAGTTCTTGAGCAATTTGGAAGCTGAATATGGTGATGTTGTGTATTATGTGGAAATACGTTGGTTGAGTGGAGGAAAGATGCTTCAGCGCCTGTTTTCTTTGAAGAGCGAAGTTCAAGAATTCATGTAATCTAAAGGGAAATCTATTCACAAATTCAGTGATGAGAAATGGTTGAGAGACTTTGCATTTCTTGTCGATATTACAGGCCATCTCAATGATTTTAACAATTGCTTACTGGGAAAAGATCTACTTGTTCGTAATCTTTATTACTTTGTGAAAGCTTCTGAAACAAAATTAATCCTGTGCGAAAGTCAGTTGCTAAATAAGAATTTCACTCACTTTGCAAAATTGATGGAGTGCATGAAGAATTCTACAACATGAAATTCAAATAATTATGTACAATGCACTTCAAATTTGAAAGAGGAATTCAAAAGCAAATTTATGCGAAAATGAAATTTTTATCAGAATGTTCTCCTCGCCATTTTCAGTAAATGTTGGAAGTGTTCCACCTAAACTTCAATTAGAATTTATAGATTTACAGTGTAACTTCAGTAAAATGCAAGTTTCTTGAAAATCCTACGCTAATTTATTTTTATTCGATGTACGTGAAGTTTCGAAGTACGTGACCAAAGACAAGTATCCAGGAATTCGTAACATGCACTCTTCATATCTTCTATCTTTGGCAGTACCCACAAATGTGAACAGCATTTTAGTAAAATGAAAATCCTAAAATCAAAACAAGAACACGGCTGACAGACAGACATTTGGAGGAAATTTTACAAATTGCAACAACACAGATTAAACCGGATACTGAAGCTTTAATCAGGGAAAAACAATGTTGAATTTCACATTAAAACTAAAGTAACTACCATGTCCCACCAGTAATGTTTTTTTTTTTTTTTTTTTTTTTTTTTTTTTTTTTTTTTTTTCGTAAATGCATTTTCTAACATCATTTTGTACAATCATCCTTATGCTTTTTTTTTTTTTCCATAGTTAAAAAAAGTTGCAAAACATTTTAATTTGATTTGACTTTTTGGAACCAATGTGTGTATGTATATATATATATATACACAAAATCTGTAACATTATTTCTTCACCTAGAATCAATTGTAGCCTTGCAAAATAAACCTCCTCTTTTTTTTAATAAATTTTCTGACTACACTATTTTTTGACAGACATGTGGCCCGCGAATATTTGTGAATTTATTGATGTGGCCCTTGGGCGTGAAAGGTTGAAGACCCCTACTCTAAACAATTTGTTTCTTACAAATTAATTAGTTTATGTTTTTAGTATATATGTATATATTTCCTGATGTAGAACTACTAACTTACAGTGACAACAATCATTAAGGAATCTGGTTTCCATTCTGCAAGCTGATTTGCTCCAAAAGCAGCTATGGATTCTTTACTCCTTCTATAACATGTAACTTCAACACAAGGCTAGAAAGAGGGGAAAAAAAATTAATTTTAATTTCATTAGTTAATTTTTGACTTTATAACTTGAAAGAGACTAAATACATAAATATTTAAGATTGCAATACTTAATTACATTAAGACCACTCTTCTGGTCAATACTTTGGATAAAGCCATATAAATACTAGGAAAAAGGTTACGCCTTTAGTTTCTAAAGGTAGAGAAAACATGGAAACTAAGGTACCTAATTTTTCCAGGAGCAAAAAATAAAAACTGTAACTAATATTCCTCTCTTCCTCTTTAAATACAATAAAATATATCAACTTTATTACTTTGATGGAAATACTTCAGAAATGTCATTTAAAAGAATACTTATCATGTAATTTAAAGAAAACAGAGAGGTTCATTTCTTAAATGATGTGAAATTTAAAATATGTAGGTAAGTTGAAAAATAAGTTTCCCTGTCGACTGTGGTCAGAGTTGTGTATGAAAGTCAAAAAATAGAATGAGTCATTAAAGATATGACATACCTTTATTTTTCCACATAGGTACCAAGTACATTGAGACATTTGTCATATCGCTTGATAAGCTTCAAAAATCCCTCCAGGAAAAAATCAGGGCTTTGCATATAGAAGAAGCGTTGAATGGCTTGTTTCACTTCAGTATTCCTTCCAAAGTGCCTTTCCCCGAGATTTTTCTTCAAAGCCGGAACATCTCGTGCGTTATCATGAAGATGGCAATGACTTTCTGTTTCAGATTGTGACGGGGGATGAAACATGGGTCCACCATTTCACGCCAGAATCGAAGGCCGCATCTATGGAGTGGAAACATCCATCATCACCTGTCCGAAAGAAGTTCAAGACAACTCCCTCTGCAGGTAAAGTGCTCCTCACAGTTTTCTGGGATGCCCAAGGAGTTTTGTTGCTGGACTTTTTGGAGGTTGGAACCATCAATGCTATGCACTGTGACACCCTGTCGAAATTGAAAGAGGCGATTCGGAAAAAGCGGCTTGGCCTTCTCACATCGCGTTCTGCTGTTGGATGACAATGCCAGACCACATTTGGCGACGGCAACGCAAAACCATATTGCAACTCTTGGTTGGGAGCGCCTACACCATCCACCATACAGTCCTGATCTCGCACCAAGCGACTTCCATCTGTTTCTGGCTTTAAGAAAAAACTCGGGGGAAGGCGCTTTGGAAGCAATACTGAAGTGAAACAAGCCATTCAACGCTTCTTCCATATGCAATGCCCTGATTTTTTCCTGAAGGGCTTTTTGAAGCTTATCAAGCGATATGAAAAATGTCTCAATGTACTTGGTACCTATGTGGAAAAATAAAGGTATGTCATATCTTTAATGTCTCATTCTATTTTTTGACTTTCATACACAACTCTGACCACAGTCGACAGGGGAAACTTATTTTTCAACTTATCCCCGTAGTATACAATGTTAAAAAAGAAAAGCTTACTCTTTAATATAGGAAGTTAAAACTTAAATGTATACATTACCTATCCTTAAAACTATTGCATAATACAAAATGTAAAATATTCCTAAAAGTTTGATATTATATATGGATAATGCAATTATTATTACATCGGTTGATCTTTACATTATGGTAACTTGGCGTTTTTTTGGCGACCAACTCTCCTACAGCAACCCTCTATTTTTTTCCCGCCGCCATTTTGTCTTCACGAAGTAAAGACATGTTTCTTTTCTTTTTATCTACTGAACACTTCTTCCAACAATCTACTAGCCGAATTACACTTATGCTAGAAATTTTATCTAACAAAACTGCTTAATCATGACAAATATTCACTGCAAAATTGGGAAAAAGTGCACAATACCATACTCCTTACGCGTTTTTCAAAATAACACATACACATAAACCATGTACACGCCGACTTATTTTTACTTAAAAAAACATCCCAGAATTGCACAAAAATGGCATTGCGCACACTCTTCACTATATCCATGTACACTGCTTTTTTCTCATAAATTAGAAAAATTTCACGAAAATACAAGACAATTTTCTCAATCTTTAAACCCGGTAAAAAGAACATATATGAAATTACCTGATCGCGAAAAAGTATTTACCCTTTCCAAATATGAACATTTCCACATATAAAATAAATAAAATATCCAAAAACTTTTACCTCTAAATCATCTATTACATTATACACGTCACCAACGAATTCATACCGCAAGCATTACAAATACTTAGTATCAAATATTTAAATTATTTCCATGCACATTTACTTCAACTTAAACGTGTACCAAATTCCTACAAACATAAAATTCACAAAATAACTATCATTTAATTAAAATATCACTAAACCATGTACACGTCGACTTATTTTTACTTAAAAAAACATCCCAGAATTGCACAAAAATGGCATTGCGCACACTCTTCACTATATCCATGTACACTGCTTTTTTCTCATAAATTAGAAAAATTTCACGAAAATACATGACAATTTTCTCAATCTTTAAACCCGGTAAAAAGAACATATATGAAATTACCTGATCGTGAAAAAGTAATGAACATTTCCACATATAAAATAAATAAAATATCCAAAAACTTTTACCTCGAAATCATCTATTACATTATACACGTCACCAACGAATTCATACCGCAACCATTACAAATATTTAGTGTCAGATATTTAAATTATTTCCATGCACATTTACTTCAACTAAAACGTATACCAAATTCCTACAAACATAAAATTCACAAAATAACTATCATTTAATTAAAATATAATTAAATTCAAAAACACTATTTAAAATATAAATGAGCACATGCATTAAATTAATACATACATAAATACCCATTTCGAATTCACTTTAGTTACGGCCATGGGATCCAAAAATTCATGAACACTGTTTCACCAACATAGAATAAAGCCAAATACAAAATTTCCAGATTTTTTCCCGATTTCCCCCCTTTTCCGATTAAAGAACCGTAATTCGTCCATTAATATCACATGACATATCCCATGATCTCTCATTTCCCTCATACAAAATAATGTGTAATCGGAACTGAGTACTGCTCACATTATTACCAAAGTGCCAGGTAGTAACCTTTATCGCCTCCAAAATGTCGCCAAACTACCAGTTACCATATTGTAAAGATCAACCATTACATCCAACTAAATAATAACAACAAATAAAATAAAAAGGGACAGAAAGAAAATAAACATTCTAAAATGAATACTGTTTGGAAAAAATGATAAAATTGTTAAGTAAAAACCAGTTTAAAATAATAAATCCAATAAAAACTTAATATTATATTTTTTTACATTCAGAACTCAAGGTTCCATACAAAAAATTTGATACAGACTAAAAAATGAAGAAATTATCTTAAATTCATCAGATAATTTCATTGTTCAACAAACAATTAGCAACAATGGCATGCAAAATACATATCTAATATTTCAAAATAAAAATTAAAAAGTTAAATTTGTAGTGACTTTTTCTAAACTTTTGTATAACACACACATAAAATAAAAAGACAGGAAACAAATTCAGAGACAATCAAAACAAAACTAATACAAATTAGAATATTTCAGAAAAAAACATCTACTGTAACAATTCATTTTTCTTCCTTTTTTTCCTTAAATTTATAGTATAGTATTTCTAGAAAGGATATAGAATTAATGCTTGCTACCCCATCAGATTACCTCCATAAACATTAATGGATATATGCAGCAGTGTCACACTAATATGTTATTTTTAGTGTTTCTGCTTAGAGGATTATCTGTATATTATCTTCCAAAAATGTTCTCCATCTGACACCTGACAAAGAAAAACTGTACAGTTCTTGACACAATTATATTGTTTAAAATAAAATTAAAACTTTGATGCTAATCAATCGCTGAAAAAGACAAACGAAGGTTCTACTAATCAAGAACTAATACTATTCATATTCAATGAAATTATTTCTAGTGTTGAAGAATTCAAAAATATAAATGAAGAAAACACACACATATAGAGAAAAAAAAACTGAATGCTGACTGAAAGGTAAAATATATTTCAGGGTGTCCCTTGACGAAAATTTGCGATTGGCCAGCAAGGCACAATGGCCGCTACACAAAACCAAAATAACAAGTCAAAGAAATGAATAAACTCGGTGTTAATGCACACATCAATCTATTTTCACTTTTAAAAAAATCGGGAGAATAATGACATTATATAATGTTAAAACAAAGTTATTCATCACCAAATTGAACAAAATTTAGCCAATTGAAGCTTAAAAACTACATTTTAAATCACACAATGAAATAACATAAAAAGGGAAATATCAACTTGCCATATTTAGAAATTTCTGTATCTTCAGTCTGTGACACACAAAATTCCTTAACAGCAGCCAAAAACTTTCTAAAATTATCTTAATTAGAAATGCAAACTGCTGTCACAACATAAATTCACAAAAATAAGAGTAAAAAATATCCTCCATAGTGCCGAACTGTTGGTGGCATTTCTTGCATGAACCTTTCTTGCGACAAACCCATTCAAAGCCATCTGAACAATCTTTACATTTCACTATATGCATTTCCTATGTACAAACAGGACACTTATAATGACTACTAGGTAAAACTTCATTTACACACCAGTCAATTAATGCTTTCTTTCCCCTTTCATTCCAAACCATACATAAACTTTGCATTAATCTCATCATATACAGCCATTTTTCAGTGTACAGCAAAAAATAAGCAATGTACTTTCTAACTGACATCCAAGGAAGAAGTAAGCCCTTACATGTATTTTCCCATCAGTAAAATTCACCACAATCATGCAACCAAGCACATCATAATAGCATTTCCATAATATTCAACTACTCAGGTTACCATAAATAAAACACCAATTTGGCGATAATCCAAGGGGTACGTTAAATATAAACTAACTGACTGGTATTTGCATTTTATGACATGCTTTAAATAAATATCTATTTCTTGTGAAAAATTTAATGGGGAAAGAGAAATTGAACTTGTGTTAAATAAACTCATGAATTGTGTTAGGTATGCACACAATTCATTAAGCATCACTGGTTTGGCAATTTTTTTACAGTTCTTGGAAATGGAGTAGCACCAAAATTTTTGGTATTCTTTGCTTATCGGTAGCGGATTCAGAAATGAATGCATGTATGGATGAATGGCAGTGTTCATGTATGCATGCACATGTGCATGTATGTATGTATGTGTGCACGCATATATTCAAACATATATGCACACCTACATATATTTCTGAATCTAGTCTTGATAACAGAAGGGTACCAAATCTTTTTGCTCCTAAAGAAAAGACACCTATATCTGGACCCACTTGAAATCAAGAGAATTTTATTTAAAGTCTACACTGAATTAAGGTTGCTTATTAGTCAAATTTCAAATTAATTTCATTGTTCAATTACGCACACACGTGATAAATATTCTGAAGTTTGTGATACATCACTATTCTGACACTTCAGATATGTTGCCATTATCTGACACATCAACTGTCATTTTTATATGTTGATAAAAAAGTACATTTTTAAAAGTGCAATATTTTTTGTTTCCATGCATATAAATTATAATGATAAAACAGTACTTTTCCATTATTTGCCTGCTACATATTTTGGCAATACAGTATGCGCTCAATAATTCTTGTTTATGCACACACACATACAGATAGTCCTCGGACATTGCCACTGTTGGATCTTGACATGTATTTGGGTTGTCTTTAAAGAGGTCAAGAAGCATGGCAGGTGCAGAAAAGTACTGATAAAACAATTACCAATTAAAGAATTTTTTAGGAACACTTTCAAGGAAAACCAACAATTAATGCAGAAGGATCTTGAAACTTATTTTCTCTTCAGAAATGACAGTAACGAGTTTTAACATTCACAGAGCGATCATATAGCAGTAGCAGATGAATATTACTTTGTAAAATGAAAAGTTTAATATGAAAACGACAACACAAAGTTTACATCTTAAAATTGCACAGAAGGAATATTTCCCAAAACTAAAGAATCCATCGGAAGGCTGAATGAGATTTTATCCACGAATTTATCTCTCATCCTAATTATAGTCAAAAATACAGTATGTAAACAACTATTTGGCAGGAAAGAATTACAACATAATTTATTACTTCTTTTAAATTAAGAGAGAATACTTAGAGAGGCATTTACAAGTGACAACACCTTGCAAGAAATCACACATAAACTTCTGAACTGGCACACGTATTAGTAAGTAATGTAAAAAAAATTGTGAAATCCTAGTATATGGTGCAGCCTTAGAGCGATTTTGAAAATTATCGCGAACACCAAAATGACCGTTTAACTACTCATCGTATATGTCCCGTTTACTGCTCATCATAATGTCGCCAAATTCCATGTGCACCGGATACTAGGATTAAACCAAAAAAATTAATTTCGTAAAGAAATATGAGGATTACGAGACGTATTAAATAGATTTAACACCAAGATTTAATTTCGATAATTCAATTGATTGACATCTGAAATAATATTTTATAATACTTGAAATTATATGAAAATAAATGTAATAAAACAGTGTTAATATTAGCATACCCTTATATACCAAATACTAATACTGTCTTCAGTTAAAACACCAAAAAGTGTACGATCTCTATTACAAAACACAGATATGGGCAAACAATTAATGTTTTGACGTTCTAGATATTTAGGCCATCCAACTGTAAAGTACATATTTACAAATCAACCAACAACGCTATAACAAGAAGTAATAGTTCGATTGTCAACTTAATTCAATCATCTTCAGCAGACAGCTGCCATGTTGTAAACATGAGCCGTCGTAAAACAACTAAACACTAAACACTTTTCGAACACTACAACTTAAGAATTTCAAATCTTAATAAAATCTGAATGCATTATTCCTTATAAATTTTCTTTTTCCTTAATTTTAAGAACTACAATTAGTTATTAAAATCTGTGTTGCAACAGTATTTAAAAAAACTACAAAGCTACCGAGAAAACTACTTTGATAAATTTTAATTACATCTTAATTATTTATCTTTATCATAGTCAAACATATATTTAGTTGACCTTTCGAAAACTCTTTTTAATATTACACGGAAGAACAAATGCATTCGCTCAAAAATAAATACGCCAACAAGCCAAAGAAACAACTCAGACTTCAACTGTTTAAACCGTTATTACAACAAAGTCTGTCAATTTCGAGTTGTGTTATATATCATTGTGAATACTTTTATAATTGTGAATTGTCTCTTGTTCATAAGAATGTCGTCAACAGATTTCTATCTTCGTTATTATGTTGGTCATAGAGGGAAATTTGGCCATGAATTTTTGGAATTTGAATTTAGACCGGACGGTAAGTACCCATTTTGTTAATCTTCTGTAAGAGTTGCATCTAATTTTCAATTAATGCATGTGTTTTAATTCTGAAATGTGGCTGTTTTTTAGGAAAGTTGAGGTATGCTAACAACTCCAACTATAAAAATGATACGATGATCAGAAAAGAAGTGAGTGTTATTTTGTATTTTTGCTGTACAAAATCAGTCCAGTTGTATTATTCTATTGCTCTTTTTTGTTAATTTTTTATTTTAATATTGAAACATGGTGATTCTTAAGAATTATTGCTTCATATAAAAAACCAAAATTTTTAAGTTTTTAGCTGGTCTTAAAATTATGTCTTGGGAAATCATTCTTCTACAATGTCTATTGATAATGTGACTCTACTAAAACGGTAAAAGCTTACAATTGGGTGCCCCTTGTTTTTTGGGGATTCCTTTTTGATGGCAAGATCGGCGTCAGGAAGACACAATTTCAAGATGTCCGCTACACAAAACCAAAATCAAAGTCAAAGAATTGCATAAACTGTGTGTCCATGTACACATCGATCTGTTTTCACTTAAAAAAACATCCTAGAATTGCACAAACTAGGCATTGCGCACTGTTTAAATTTGTCCATGTACACATCAATCTATTTTTGTTTAAAAAAAATCAGGATGCTAAAGCAAAGTTACACTATCATGGTAACCAGAAATACGATTTCATAGCCAAAATTTTACAAAAAATTGTCGCTAATCGAAGGGACACCCAATTCTACACTGGAGCCACTAAAACTTCATGGCACACTGCAGGCAACCATTTTAACGGCTAGAAATTCTTTCACTGAGGAAGTTTACAGTTACCTGAAGATTTGATCCTGGATACCAATTTGAGAATAAAAAAGCCTTATTTCTTTTCCATTTTGTGCATTTTCTAAGATTTGGTCTCTAAAGAAAACTAAGGTTGATCTTTGGATTATAGTAACTTGGCGAAAATTTGGCGACCAACTCTGCTACAGCAACCCTCTATTTTTTTTTCGCCCCCTAAAGACATGTTTCGGTACTTTTCCGTTTCGCCGGCACAAATCTCGCCAAGCAGACTTTATTGGCGACAACATACAGTATACACATAAAAAATATTTAAAAAAATGTTAGTTCTAAGAATTTTTTATTTTGAAGGCATATAAACATTTTAAATATCGCTTAAAATTTTTTATAAAAAGCCAATAAATGAAGACAATAAATTAGTAAAAAGACATTAATTTAAGAATTTACTATGCTTTCATGGTTCAACATCCTGATTCACCGGTTCATATCACGTGACCCAAGTGATCTCATCTCATGTAAACTACTCTACAAAAATCTAATGCTCTCAGTAATTATCTACGTTAATTTCAAGTTAAATCTGAATTTGGAACACAAGTTTATATGCAAGAAATATTTCAATTCGTACGAATAGCTTACTCAGAAATTATGTAAAACTGCAGTGCTTTACTTCGCTAATGCATTCTCATTAGAATTGATGAATTTAACCCTTGACTTTACCTTTTCTATATTTTCGGCTTCGGGTAAGCGCTGTGATTGCATCCTAATTGACTTAATTATCGAAAATAGCCTTAGACATAAAACTGTACTATCTGATAAAAATCCTATGTAATTATATGCCAGTATTGAAAGAAACAATCAATCTGATAAGAAAAAGCTGCGACTTGTTTCGAAAATGAGGCGTAAAAGGTTACCAGTGAGAATATTCCGTTTGGCATCGGTTGTACCATTATTGGCGACTTTATCGCTTGCGTCGGCATAACGGAAAAGTACCCATGTTTCTTTTCTTTTTACTTACTGAACACTTTTTCCAACAATCTATTAACCGAATTACACTTATGCTAGAAATTTTATGTAACAAAACTGCTTAATCATGACAAATATTAACTGCAGAATTGGGAAAAAGTGCACAATCGCAAACTCCTTGCGCGTTTTTCAGAATAGCACATACACATAAACCATTTACACGTCAACTTATTTTTACTTTAAACAAAACCCAGAATTGCACAAAAATGGCATTGCACACACTCTTAACTTTATCCATCTACACTGCTATTTTCTCATAAATTACAAAAATTTGCACAAAAATGCAAAAAAATTTTGTGAATCTTTAAACTCGGTAAAAAGCACGTATATGAAATTACCTGATCGCGAAAAAGTATATACCCTTTCCAAGGATGAACATTTCCACGTATAAAATAAATAAAATATCCAAAAACTTTTACCTCTAAATTATCTATTATAAACGTCACCAACGAATTCATACCGCAAACATTACAAATGGTTATAAATACTTGGTGTCAAATATTTAAATTATTTCCATGCACGTTTACTTTAACTGAAACATATACCAAATTCCTACAAACATAAAATTCACAAAATAACTATCATTTAATTAAAATATCACTAAACCATGTACACGTCGACTTATTTTTACTTAAAAAAAATCCCAGAATTGCACAAAAATGGCATTGCGCACACTCTTCACTATATCCATGTACACTGCTTTTTCTCATAAATTAGAAAAATTTCATGAAAATGCATGAAAATTTTGTGAATCTTTAAATCCGGTAAAAAGAACATATATGAAATTACCTGATCGCGAAAAAGAAAAAAAAGTATTTACCCTTTCCAAAGATGAACATTTCCACGTATAAAATAAAATAAAATATCCAAAAACTTTTACCTCTAAATTATCTATTATATTATAAACGTCACCAACGAATTCATACCTCAAACATTACAAATGGTTACAAATACTTAGTGTCAAATATTTAAATTATTTCCATGCACGTTTACGTCCACTGAAACGTATACCAAATTCCTACAAACATATAATTCACAAAATAACTATCATTTAAGTAAAATATTATTAAATTCAAAAACACTACTTAAAATATAAATAAGCACAAACATTAAATTAATAAAAATTAGCTTACAATCCTAATTACTTTAAACTAAAACATTGCTAATAACAGTTTTCCAATAATACCATATTACTTTATTTACTCCTTACATTTAGAACAATGCATAAAAATAACATCCTCAAATAGTTAAAAGTACTAACTTACCTAATCTTCTTCAGAATCTTGATTACGTGGCCGATAAACTTTTCTTATTTCGTCCGCTAAATAAAAAGCAAGCCTATGTGTGCCTGTTTCAGAATCTTTAAAATCATACTTATAGTTCACAGCAAGGTACCAGGTAAAATAAATAACTTAATAAAACATCTTTACTTCTATCTCGCACAACCTTAAAAAAACACTTATTACTCCCCTTTCAATCCCACTAAATACCCATTTCGAATTCACTTTAGTTAGGGCCATAGGATCCAAAAATTAACCAACAGTGTTTCACACAACACAGAATAAAGCTAAATACAAAATTTCCATATTTTTTCCAGATTTCCCCCCTTTTCCGATTAAAGAACTGTAATTCGATTAATGTCACATGACATACCTCATGATCTCTCATTTCCCTCACACAAAATAATGCGTAATCGGAACTGAGTACTTCTCACATTATTACCAAAGTCCTAGGTAGTAACCTTTATCGCCTCCAAAATGTCGCCAAACTTCGAGTTACCATATTCCAAAGATCAGCCGAAACTAATAATTCATTTCATTGGGTTGTATAATTTTTTTTTATTACATTTCATTCATGTTTGATGATGAAAGATCCTCCCCCCCCCCCGCATATATATGTGTTTTTATACATATATATGTATGTAAAACCTTTTAGTTTACAAAGAATTATTGTGTATTTAATACAATACCATCTGAATATTTAGTAGCCCATTTCATACATCTTCATACATTATTCTTCTGGAAAAGGAAGTAATTGTAATTAGTGTAACAATTAATATGATGATTAACTCTTTTATTTTTAATGCAATCTTTTTATGACCCATAATATAAATAATTGTCAGCTTGGGGAGGGAACTATCAAGTTATATAATTCTGTTTTCCAGATGGTTGGCTCATATGGTGCATTTAGAATTTTTCTTTTTTTAATTACAATTGAATATATTGTAAGTTGTAAATGTAATTCCCATTTATTTTCTAGACTCGGTAGTGCAACAAATAACAATCTTCATGATTTAGAATCGAAAGCATAGCTGTCAGCTGTCTTGGTTTTACTGGAAGACTGTCAGCTTTGTATCAGGTCCCCCAGCAGATCACCAAATCTCCCAGTTTTTAACTATTAGCTTTTACTAATGAAGTGTTTCTCAACAATGAATAAAATTTATTCAATTAATGAAGAAGGAATCTTAAATTATACAAACATGATTCTTCCACTCCTAATGATCTTCGGCATAATTTTTCTTACTATATTTTGTTTTATCTGAATTGTCTTTAATCTACTGTAGACAATTGTAGAACTTTATATGAAAATTCAACCACTATTTAACTGCTTTTTATATCTATACTTAATTTTGCTTTATATCACTATATGGTACACTATTAAGTTTCTCCACGCAATAATATTAATTATAGACTTTCATAAGTTCAAGTGTAACAAAAGCAAAAAAATTAAAATGTTCCCTACTCTGGATTTTCTCAGTTTAACAGTGCAAGAAAATTACAAGATGAAATTAGGTGAAAAATGTAAGAATTTAGAATATCTAATTAAATATTAATATATTTTACATCAGTTGAATAACCAAAATCATGCATTGTAAAATGAATTTAAGCCTTTTTCTTTTTTTTTAATTATGCCCTTGTGCAACTCGAAAACAGAAGCTCCCAGTTTTTAATATTTCAAGGTTGGTGGGCTATGTTAAAAGAATTAAAAATATGATTTATTTTTTATTAAGGTATCCTTTTCCCCTGAACAGTAATAGTTTTTTACTGCATTTCATTGGTTTATTTAATTTTAGTCAGCAGTTTGTTGTTTTAGAATTTGTCACCAAGTATCTTGCTGAAACTTGGCTACAGTTAAAAAAAGTAAAGATAAATGAAAATGCATCAGAAGTACTATTTACTTCTCGGAGTTTATTTCAAATTCTGTAGTTTGAAATTAAGAACATAGGCTTGTTTGCATTTTAATTTTGTTTTTTAAAATAAATAATAATATATAAATGTTTAATTTCTCCTTTCATAATGCAATTTTTAGAGGATTTTATTTTGGTAAGCAACCAGATCTTGCTAAAAAGTCATCCAGATATTAGTTTGTTTACTGCATAATCATAATGTTTGGGTCCAAACCAAATCTTCTTTAATTTCCATGTAATGTGTAATTGTAATTAACATTTCAGTTACTGATGCTGGTTATCAATCATATTCAAATTTGTATTATGAACAAAATATTGATTCACCTGAATGAAAGTAGGTTTATTTTTTGTTCCAAACTAGGCTAAATTCTTATTTTTTTTATCCATCAAATCAGTTACCATTTATCAGTCAAGAAAACAAAGACCAGATACTTGGATCTGTAGAGAGTAAAATGAATGTTTTCGAAATTTATTTTCAGCTCCTGTTTTAATCTTATCACTTGGCACCCAAGCAGGGTTTGCAGATTTTAATGACTTCCGTACCAGTTCCCTGAAAGGTCTTTAGCATATTGCTTGAAGGGGTAGGATATTGTAAATGAAGTATAGTTATTCACTATTCTAGAAATGGGAGTATGGGTTTTTAGATTTTTGTGTTATAAGCAGTTTTATTTCTCCTGCATTTCTCAAAATATAGTTCCTGAACTCAAGCAATAATTTCTCCTTAAGTCCCAAGGAGATGCTGTAAAGTATAATATTTGTTTCTCAAAAAAAAAAAAAGTCATGACAAAAATGCTTTTGAGTATATCAGGTGGAAAACTTAAAATATTTTATGTATTGGAATATTGGAAGAAATATGGAATATCCAAAGTAGCATTTGCCAAAACACACAGTATGACAAGAATATCTTTGGATAACATTCTCATATCCAAAGAAAAGGTACTTACGGGAAATCCCGTCAACCATTTTTGCCTTATAAAGAAAAGTCTTCTCCAAACACGCTGGGTTTGATGTAACCGTGATTACACTTGAATAATTATTATTCTTAAGTAAAGACTCCTTTTTTCACCCTCTATTTTGCATTTTTGAAAAAAAAAAAAAAAAAAAAAAAAAAAAAAAATTATTAAAATTTGGGACCTGCCTTCTACAGAAGAGCATGCTTTTAAATAGCGAAAAAAAGTATTTCGCAAGACTTATATTTTCTTGCAAAAATTAAAACCTAGCATAAATAATTGCTTTTACAGTATATCTCCTTATTAAAAAATAATGGAAAATTTTAAGGAAAAATTATATATAATTAAATGATAATATAATAAATTTTGAAGGGAAAATAAGAATAGAGGGTTTTCTTCTTGTATCGCTTTGGCACGATTGGTACCATCTCTTGTGGTCAATATGATTTTCCGTAAGTACCAAAGAAAAACTGAAACATTGTTTACTGGGAACAAATGAAAGAGGAAACATTTGGGTATTCTGTTATCACGACTGGATTAGAAAATGTATGTCAATTTGCCTGTATACAGTCAAAAGTCGTTAATTCGGACACCCATAATCCGGAATGATCTATAATTCGGACCTCAAAGCTACAAACTTTCTGCGCTTGCGTCGTGTCGACGTAAGACCTTTACTGCTGCGAATATGCGTGTGCACGTGCGCAAAATACGTTTACGAATGTGCGTTTAATGTATAACGGACGGTATAAGCTAAGCTAAAATTACCTAATTATCTATTTTAGTTAATGTTGCAGATTGCGTTGTTCCTTAATCTTCGAATTGGATCCAGCTTATTATTTTTGCAGACTGTTAGAGCAATTTTATGAAAGTAAGCTTGAACTTTCGATTATGCCAAATAGAATTTCTGATATATATTTACTAACATGTAAAGGATCTACAAAGCGAAAGTATGTTTCGAAGTCCATTAAACAAAAAGTGAAATTGCTGCAAAAAATGGATAAAGGCATATCCTTTGTTTATCTAAACTTTAACGTTTGTTTATCTTTAACGCCGCAGCGCGCAATGAATTGGAAGTTGATCTGTCAGCACTATCCTTATCTTCAGGGCAGATGTTTTTATTTTATTTGGCTTATAATTCCTTACTAAATGTAGTATTTCATCTCGATGTACTCCGTCTTTGATATGATTTAAATCAAATTCCTCGTCATTATAATCCGCTTCCGATAGCGAAGAAAGTGATAGAGGTTATTGAAAACGAAAAAATTTCGATTGACTAATTAGTCAGTAGACACAGCAATTATAGGACTTGAACAGTGTAACTTTGTAACTGAACAAGAAATTATGTCTGTTTATAGAATTAAAGAGAATGTATTATCACATAAAAAACGAAGCAACTTAAACAACTTACATTGAAAGAAATGTTTAATAAAGTAAACAAATAAATATTAAACTTTTTTTTTTTTTTTTTTTTTTTTTTTTTTTTTTTTTTGTAAATTTTGATACCCTGTAGATCATAATTGTTCTTTATTTCATAAATTACGGTTTCATATTTTTAATTTTATAATTTCTGCATGCTATCTTACCAGATTTAAACTGATGATCTATATTCCGGAATCACTGAAGTCCCGACGAGTCCGGATTAACGACTTTTGACTGTATATGGATATATGTTTTCATATATGCATGTATATATGTCTATACACACACATTTACGTGCATTCATGCATACACACATTTCTGAATCTAGTCTTCGATAACAGAAGAGTACCACAATTTGTTAAAAATTTTCAGCTGTAGTTGGCAGAATCACAGCTGAAAATGTGTCCATACGAGGTATTTTAAAAAGACGCTTGAAAGACAAAAGAATTTAAAAACCAAGAAGAATCAAGGATACTTGAATAAAAGACATAGGCTGTCTTCTAAGTAGGTTTGTAGAGAACTAGTATCAGTAGATAATGCTACCATAGAAGAATAGGGAAATGGTATTCTGAAAAATATTTTACTATTATTTATTGTTATCAAACTTCCAATGTATTAAATTATAAATGAAGTTATTCTTTTGCCTTTCACTAGAAGATACATTATCTTTCTCTTCTGGAAAATGTCACACAGGCAGAAAAGTTGAGATCAGATAACTGTACCATCTGATATAAATGTATCTGGTACTGACATACAAGTCTCTTGTCTTAACAAATATTTCATATAAGGGTGCCATAAAAATATGAGAAGTCTCTGTGTGAAGTGGAGAAGTAAATAAAGTATAAATGACTGCCGCACTTTGACTAGAAGCAATCAAAGAGTTAGATGAGGGATTTCAAAATGAGATGTGAAAAATCATTGTTATTATAGATAACTATATTGCTTATTCTGAAATCAAGGTATTAAAAGCAGTCAAGCCTCTAAATATCATGAGCTGTCAGCATTTGGACTAAGAAATTATCCTGAATTTCAGGTGTCATTTGCAAAAGCTCATGATAAAGATTAGATCGAACCACTGCTGAAAACTGATTTTTGCTCTAAAGTAGTGTAGCAAGGGTGGACATCTGTCTTTAGTCACAGAATCCAGGGAGTATGAAATTGGTGTTTCGAAATTTTAGAACAAAATGTTCTCCATTTTTAGCAGACAAGAGAAGATGTAAAATCTTCAGTTGTCCTTATGCACTTAAGCACTTGAAAACTCTATCTACAGCTGCATTTTTAAGAGTTGGAACAGTGTCTCAGTAAGTGGCTGAGTATGAAAAGCCATATAAGTTGATAGTAATTATTTTACCTCAACATCAGTAATGTTATGTGTACTTTAGGCAAAGCTTTTTGTGTTAATGTTGATGATGGAAAGTGACTGTGAAGAGATTTCTAAAAAAAAAAAAAAAAAAAAAAAAAAAAAAAAAAAGGGGGTCAGGAGAAAAGGGAATTTTTGGTATCGAATTGAAGATAGAATTAACAGTAGCTATACCAAAAATTATTTTTAAATCCCATAATTATTATTATTTTTTTTTTAAATATATATATATATGTGTGTGTGTGTGTGTGTCATACTTGCACCGAAAAAGGACTATTCTTGCATCTCTGAATAATAAATCATCTTTTCCTGTTCCCAAGGCTTCTTAATAAGATTTTATCTTACAAGGATGCTACATGAGCACTTTCATTGATTAAAGATGTAAGCAATATAATTAAATTTAAAAAATATGTGTTTTAAACTAGCAAAATAAACTATGCATTGAAAATACAGTTATAATATTCACAATAAAGTGCTATCAAGTTTAGGAAATTGGATGCATATTTTTAATCCAGATGCATCCAATTACACTTATTTGATAACATAGTTTTTTTAAATAGTACATTTATTTATTTAATTTTAGCTAGTATGTAAGTTTTATTAAATGTGATTTAAATTTAGATTCTTTAGTATGTTTATAAGAATAGAAATTTATAACAGCTATATAGTGAATATTTCTGTGGCTGTTTTTTTCCTAAAATATAAGTCACAATTTTTTTTCATGTAGTCAATTATTGTGAAAACTAGCATTATAAAATAAATTTCATGTCTATTTTTCAAATTGCTAGGCATATGTGCATAAATGTGTCATGGAAGAACTGAAGCGTATTATAGAAGATTCTGAAATTATGAAAGAAGATGACAATTTATGGCCACAACCAGACCGTGTTGGAAGACAGGTATGTTCCTGTTAAAATTTTTCTATCTTTCATTTTCTTCAAATTTTTAAGTTAATTTAATGCAGGTTTAGCTTACAAGAGCTAATTGCCTAAACTCCATCACAATTTTCAGTAAGATGCACATGAGAGAGTGACATCCAAAAGCCTCATACTTATTTTCTTGTAGCCAATCTTTCAAGAGAAATTTCTAGTTTTACTGATTTTAAATGTATTCGTATTGCAAAGGCAGTACAATCACAAATATTCATACTTTAGCCAGCATTCCTATTCAAATACTGTAACAAGTAAATCAATCCTCTGTCAGCCAATATGCCATCAAAAATGCTGGTTGTAAAACAGTTCCTTATTTTAGAGGAATTCAGTAAAATAATATTTTACAAAAATAAAGGATCCTCGTTTTATACAGGAGATAACTTTCATATTTATTGCTTTTGAAATTAGGGTTCAATATATCTCTTTGCAAACATTGTAAGAAAGCAGATAAAAGATCGTTCATTATTTTATATCAGTGGTTTTCAACCTTTTTTTCCCATGCTCCTCTTTAACGATTACCAGACAATTATCCCCCTTCCTTTCAATAACTCAAAAAACAGATATACATTTATTTAAATTTATATTATTGTTTGTTTTTATGAATTAAACAAGAAGTATAAATCAGGCATCAGCAACCTATGACGCGCATACCATATTTGGTATCTACAACACTGTACAAAGTTATCAGATAAAGTTAAATCTCCTGTCTCTCTTCTTTGTGGCATTCTAACTCGCATATTTTCTCTCCTTTCGTTTGGTTCGTCATGCAGATACACAAGTATTGAGTATGATTTTAGTCGAAAGTAAAACTTAGTTTGATACACATCGTGTATCCTATAGATTACTTTTAACTGTATGACATGTTCTTAGTCTTATTGTGAAAATTTGTATTTTATTTGTGTTAATATTGTGACATTCCATACCTGCATAATTAATCAAATGGCTGCTAAAAAAAGAAAGTTTGATGTTCACAGTTTTCAAGACTGTTGGATGAATAAATATGGATTTGTACAATAAAAGGATTGTGCTGTAGGTGTGTTATGCTGCGAAAGCATCGTATGTTGCATGTCAAGTATGCAGAGACGTTTTCAAACTAAACATCGGCTCATATTTCAGAATTGTGATGAGAAATGTGAAATTATAAAAGCAGTTACTAGGTATAAGAAACAAGTTACATTTTTTGGTCAAACAATTGGAACCAAACTGATTGGTGACTAAATGTAGTTTTTTATTGCTCATTGAGTAGCTGCCAAAGGCAAATCTTTCACAGATGTCGAATATGTAAAGAACACATTTTTAGAATGTGTTGAAATATTGTTAAGCAATTTATGAAATCTGCAAGCAATATTATCCCGAATTTAAGAAATCCCGGCTTCTGTGTGAACTATTGAAAGATGAATAACTCTAATGGCAGAACAGAATTCTGGATTTCATGAAATTGTTGCATCATTGACACCAGTTGGAGCTTTTTCTGTATAGTATGCCAAGGTATCTTGTGGTACATTTTGCCAGAAAAGACCAGTTTCATCAACTTTGTAAATTTGTCGAGATAACTTTTCAGTATTAGTGAGTTCAATAAATTCATCTGCAAATAGTTCAGCAGCTTCAGTATCAGCTATCATGAGATTGCGATGAAGGACACATTGTTTTGCTAAATTTTGTCTTACTTCTATCATGCACAGAGACAAATAAGCCTGAATTGTATTATTTATTTATTTATTGCACATGCTTAAAGCTTATCTTAGTCCTGAATAAAAAAATTCCCACATATACTTAAGGCTTATTGAGGGCCATGCTAGATATCTTACCGCCTGATGCAATCTCTGCAGGTCCTAAATTCTAAACATTTTGTCATGCTTTAATTTTGTTGCTCGGTGCTTCTGTAAATTCCAAAAATTCTGTCTTCCCTAAATTAGCTTTTTAAGAAGAGTGACATCATCTCAAGAAGCTTGATGTAACAGGTCTGTGAACCTGGTCAAGATCAAGAGTAGGACATGACCTGCAATGTATATAGTGTCCACTATAGTAAATTTAATTAATTAACCCTAATAACGAACACAGTTACAAAGTTAAACTAACGTTTCTATCTTGATGGATTTTGTTTTGTTAATAAGTGTATGTGTTTAATAAAGGACAGCAGTCCACACAAGCAGTAATAGGTATCCAAACTGCCTAGATTACTGGCGCAATGGCCAGAATGATTTCAAATCTGGTAGTGCCTTCTCCTCGATTGGCGGAACTGGTCAGTGTCAGAAAACACGTCCCTAAATTCCACCACCCGATGCGGCCATATGAGCTTTGGCACCGGTTCTGGATTTATGTGAATTACAAATCAGTTATTCTTAATTCAAATAGCACTAATTGTAATCATTTGGCCTATAAATATCATTAACAAAATCTGTTTTTAGCATATGGAAAGAAATTTTTGTTAAATTTTTCGTCATCAACATCTTTTAGGGCATTAAACTTAAATCTGTAAACACCACCAACCGTAAAGTCAAAATAAAAGTTTACCATATTATTTGCTATTCTGTTACTAATATTTTTTTTAAAAAAATTGTTTGGGCATCGCTGCATGAGTCATTACAAAAGTTGTCATGTGCTTATAAACATGCGGTGATGAAAGCCAAATGTAATAAATAATGATTCGCCAGGTTGGCATCAGGGATATAAATTATTAGTTTGGGGTAAAATCAATGATGTTTCTTTGTAGAATGTTTTGCTAGATGTATGTCAAGCAAATACGCAGCTACAGAGCCAAATTGTTGATCACACAAATTTATGCTAGCATATTTTTGTTTCTGAAATAATAACGTATTTTATTTAGTTAAGTGAAATTAAGAATCAGAACTCTCCGCATGTTTTATTTTTTTGGGGGGGGGGGAGAATCCCATACGTAAGTCGAACGCCAAAAAAAGTTTTTCATGGCTTTGAGGTCCGGATTTTAGATGATTCCAGATAATTGGACTTCCGGACTTTGTACCAGGGCTGTGGAGTCGGTAGGGAAAATGTCCGACTCCGATTCCCTCATATATAAGTAAACATATAACACATGGGTTGTAACTTATTTTTTAATATAAAAGAAGTAATAAATGTGACAGAAAAAGATTGATGGCATAGCAAATTATTTACACTCATGTCCATAAATTAAGGATAATTCGGAGTCACGCGGAAATCGAACTGTAAAATAAATATATCACCTGTAAAATCACTACACACATCTTCAAGAATCATATGCAAGGAAATAACCAGATGACACCGATGGTATGTCACACCGATGAGAGTGATATATAAGGAATACAGGCAAAGAAGTAAAATTGTTCGCAGGCGCTTTATAAGCATTTCAGTGCAATAACTGAATAGTTATGACACAAAGGTCTCATTTGGATGATTTTTTACGTGGTAGAATTATCGGCCGTCTGGAATGTGGGTGTACCCAACTGGAAGTATCAGACGAACTTGGAATTTCCCAGAGTGTCATCTCCAGGCTTTGGTAACGACTCAAAGATTATGGTAATGCGAGTAGATGTTACAGCACAGTCGCCCCAGAGTTACAACGCTGAATGAGGACCTGTATTTGGCAGTTACTGCCAAATGAAACAGGCGGAGCACAGCCTCAGACTTGTCTCATCAGCTCTCTTCAGCTACTGGTACGACAATTTCAAGGCAGACTGTGTACAGACGCTTTGGGCAGATTGGTCTATATGCTCATAGACCTGTCAGATGCATTCCACTTACTGCAACTCACTGTCGCCTGCGGTTAGCCTGGAGTAGAGAGCATGCATTGTGGACACCACAACAGTGGGCTTGTGTGATGTTTTCCGACGAGTCCAGGTTTAGCTTGCAGTCTGATTCTCGCCGGACTTTCATATGGAGAGCTCAAGATACTCGTTACAACCAAGAAAACATCATTGAATGACACCGTTACAGTGGTGCAGGAGTACTCGTTTGGGGTGGAATTATTCTGGGTTCCAGAACTGACCTGCATGTTCAAATTGGAACTTTGACAAGCCAAATATATCGGGATGTCATTCTCGAACAAAATGTACGTTTGTTTCGGGGCACCATGGGCGCACAATTTGTATTTATGGATGACAACGCCCGTCCTCACCGTGCAAACATCGTAAGCGAATGCCTTCAATAGGAGGATATTACCCGTATGGACCAGCCAGCTTTCTCACCGGACTTGAATCCATTAGAGTACGTGTGGGACATGCTTGGCCGACGAGTTGCAGCCCGTCAGCCTCCTCCTACATGTCTACCGGAACTTCGGAGAGCATTGCTTTTTGTGTAATATCCCCCAAGATCAGATCGATAATTTGATACTCAGCATGCCTAGGTGTTGTACGGACTGTATTGCATAGTCTGGGAGACATACACTATATTAACAATCATACCAACCATGTAATATTGTTTTTTTTTTTTTTTTTTTTTTTTTTTTGTAAATTTTTTTTTTAATTTGCTCTAGGTAGAAAAAATCGCTAATTTTTTTAATATATCAAAAAACAATAGCATCTTTTTTTGTTCTTTACCTTTTGTTTAATAAATAAGCTTTACAAATAAGTCAAATTTGTTTTTCTTCTAACCCTTCCTTTGCCTGATTTTGCATTATCCTTAATTTATGGACATGAGTGTATATTAATTAGCATTTACTATGAAATGGAAAAATTGGCATTAGTAATTTTTAAGAAATGGTATAGCTTCGGCAAGAGCTTCTTTGATAAAGGACCATAGATCCAATTTGATTAACTTCAGAGCTAAGAAGTCTTTCCACACTGACTGTAGGATGAAGAGCTGTTACTGTTATAGCTACTTCTTTTAACATTTCAGGCTAGGTTTTTTGAAATTCTAAAAGAGTTGTCTTGCTAGAGCAATCATATATCTCTATTTCTTTAAATGCCATGTAGAAATTGTTTTTGTATTTTTTCATTTTTATATGTAAAAGTTCTTTATTTTCATTCACTTTG